AATGTTCTGAAGATGGACTACAAAAAGCGCATCTTAGATAATGCGCCCTGTATGTCCTCATTGTGTTGATTCATGCAGGATATATAAATGTGGACAACACGAAAGATATTGTTTAATTATTAAGGTCGGAATTGAATTAAAAAAAGTAATATAGGCTACCAGCCAAAAACTGCTCACACTCACCCATCTGAATCCCAAGTAGTAAAATGAATTAATGATATTACTAAAGGCTGGCAATACAACAACGCTCAAATGAATAAATGACTGATGCAAAGTGAACATATGTTATGGGTGCGTGTCCCCTCCATCCACAGCTGTGTTCAACTTGTTTGTTTTGTAACAGGATAAACAAATATTAAATGCATTATTTTGTTTTTGCATGTGAATAAAAAAATAATGGAAAACTACGTGCTTTTTCCATTTTCTTCTTCAAATGGGAATTGGAATAGAAATTAGACCACAACCAGTAACCAACTTGTGTTTGGCCTATATGCGCATTTACGCACGAGACACAGCAACGTTACTTCATTGATTATCTATCTATTTTTTTTTTTTTTTTCAGTTCAATTCATTTTTATTTATATAGCACCAAATCACAAAGAAAGTCATCTCGGGGCACTTTACACATAGAGCAGGTCTAGATAATACTCTTGAATTTACAGAGACCCAACAGTTCCCCCATGAGCAGTACTTGGAGACAGCGGTAAGGAAGAATTCCCCTTTTTTTAGCCATTTGAAGATGAAAACGGCAAAAGCAGGTGGATTTCCGTTTTTCTTATTCACATGAAAATCGGAACATGAAAATAATGCATTGTGTATTTGTTTAACCTGTTATAAAACAAGTTAAACAAAGCTGTTGACGGAGGGTGCACCAATAGTAGCATAATGTTGAAAGTTGAAAACATACAGCATATGAACATGTTATGGCATGAGATGTATAATGCTTCATAAACAACGGTAATGTACATAGTGATCTCCTTCCTTTCTCAGTCATGTTGATCTTTTTCTTTCCTAATCATTTGAGTTTGTGAATGGTGAGTCGCTTGGTCACTTTTAATATTGGTGCCGCAAGGACTTGTAGGACGGAATTATCTCCTTTCCTTTCGTAAAGGATGGTCCAATGTACACTATGCTAAAGGAGATTAAAAAGGAAGCATTGAAGCACCTTTCCTTAAAATTTAGAGAATTCGACCAGCTCTTATCATGGCTGCCACTTAGATACTTCCGGGTCATTTCACTCAGTTAAGAACCTTCCTAAGCAAAAAAGACTATTCGACCGCAGCCAAGGTCTGAGAGTTGTCTCTATTTAATTTCTCCTTTTCGTTATTTTCTGTGGCTCCATCTGTTGGTGTCAGTGGTTGTGGTGAATGCTGAGCTTTCACTTTGAACACATCCCACTTCTCAGGAAGCAGCCCTTTGTTGAAGAGCACAGAAACCAGATAGGAGAACAACAAGATGGCAGCAGTGGCAGACAGCATGGAGATGGTCTTGACTGGNTGTGTGTGTGTGTGTGTGTGTGTGTGAGCCTACCCAGTAAAGAAGTTTAAAGATATCTTATATCCTTAATAATCCTGACTTTATAATTCACAGTTTCCATCCTACTTTTGTCAGCTGTGCTCTCCTCACCTGTCATTGTGAAGATCCCCACCACCAGGCTAATGCTGCGGTTGCCCAGCAGTGTCATCTCCATTCCAGGGGCTCCACTTTTCCTCTTTTCCCTTTTGGATTTGAAAGAAGCCCAGATGCCAGTCCCAAGTACCAGCAGGTAGAAAAACACCATTGCTATTACTCCTGGGATGTTAACAGCCATGTTGAGTGTCTGCTCTTCTGGCTGGTGTCAGACTGACTGAATGTAGTTTTTTCACTAGGTTCAGGAACAAAGACCACGCCTCGAACACATCCCATTTACGCCCAACAGTAAAAGCACACCTGATGCATTCTGTTTCCCTTCAACACATTTCTCACATCGACTGACGTGCACTTCACGTGTAACCACAGGCTTACCTCAGTCTAAAAGTAAGACAATCTCTAGTTTTTATTGTATCAATTAATCAACTCACCACGGATCCAGAGCTGCAGAACAATCCTTCTGATCCAGACAAAATCCAACCGAAGGCGATTATCCTGGAGTCATATCATTCCCGCAGCATTTACAGATCACTGTCAGCTAGGGCTGGGCGATATGGACTAATAGTCACATCTCGATATTTTTTAGCTGAATGGCAATACTCAATATATATCGATATTTTTTCTGTGACGTAATTGGGGTTTCCCACAAAGCATTATGGCGTAGCATCCCTATTAGTTTAATTTTTTTTAAGCCACGTGCCAAATGTCACACAGGCACCTTTATTAACAGAGGTCACTCTGCACAATATCAAAATGTTTAAAACAAATTGAACAAAAAAACTGTCTGCATATATGAAAAAATGCTCCTTGAATTAAAAGACAAAAAATCCATTTCCTGCATGACAAAAATACACACAGTAGCCTAATTAATTTGAATACACTATGTAAATACGCTGTGTTACAATTTTAACAGTATCAGTAAACAGCTTTGTGGTCTGAGCAGCACGTATATGACACACACCTCACACATTATGGCGCTGTTGTAAGTGGTGGAAGAGATTTGTCGGGCTCAACACTTTACCCCCAGTTTCCACATACTCCGTCAGCGCCGCGCAGCGCACCACGTAGCAGATACGCTCCCATTCTAGTGAACAGCTGCATTTCCACAGCGAGCGCCGCGCAGCGTGTCTGGAGCGTCCCAGAGGCTCCACGGCGCCAGAGATACGCACCAGACCGGTTTTCGACATTCTTTACAGAAAACAATTTGCTGCTGGTCATCTGACACTTTAAAACCAAACCATCTCCAAATTATCAAACCATTGTTTTTTCGTTTACTGACCAACTCTCTGTCTCCATGTTGTCGTTGAGCACAGGTGAGAATGGAGGCGAGGGGAGGGGTGGTGACAGAGCGAGGGAGGCGGAGCAGAGAGGTTGTGTGTGTGAGATGGACCCAGGGAGAGGGAGAGGAGAAATAGGTGCAAACTTGCGGCCCATGTATTGTCATTTTAACGCAAAATGAACTAGGCCTACATTGATAGAAGTGATATTGTCCCGTGCAATATCGCGTTCAGAAATATATCATATATATTAAAATCTCCAGATATTTCCTCCCTTCCCCACTCCCACACCACAGCAGCAGGGACGCCTCCAGAAATTTTTCATAGGGTGGCCAGATGGGGCCACTTAAAATCTTGGGGTGGCACACCAAAACTAAAAGCCAGGATTTTATTATACTGTTGTAGTATATGGGCTAGTAAAAAAAAAATCACAAAGACTTAAGGAAACGCCTACTGATATACTTTGGTTTATTGTGTTACATTTTATGTTACTAATGATCTAATGTGCATAGACTAATAACAATACAGTTAACATTTTGAGTTCCACCATAATCTTGTTTCATTGTGTTATGTATGTTAGGCAATTCATTGTTTTTAAAATAGGCTAGTTATCCTTTTCCTTAAAAAGACACATATACAGCTTAATTTAAAGGTGTACATTTATTGTAATCAAAACCATTACTGGGAAAAAGCAGGTACTGGCAGATACAAACAGAAGCAAGTACAGAAATACTCATATCTTTGCTTTATGTAACAAGAATTTCCCACCAGGGATCAATAGTCTTTCTTATTCTGATTACCAGGCTATACAGTATGTTTAACAAACACTCATATCTTTGCTTAATGTAATAGAAAAAGAATTAGATTTACAAGAAAAAATTCCCAAAGGTCCGACCTAGTATTTGAATTCCATTAGTCCGACCTCCCAAAAATCCGACCGCAGTAAAGTTACATTTCAGGGGGGACCAGGCAACTTCCCCCTTTCAGTAAACACAGAGCAGTGGTAGCACTAAACAGCTGCAATGTCTCTATGTGCGGACTGTGAGGACAGTTGCGTTTATCTCATTGACGGGAAATCATCAATGAGATAGGATGTGTTATCCAAATAAGGGCATGTACGTCACATATAGCAGATGGATGTGATTTCCCGTCGATGAGATAAACGCAACTGTCCTCACAGTCCGTGGCGGCACAGTGAGGGAGAAATGCACAGACTGCTTCGTGTTGGAAGTGCTGTGGTCGGACTAACTGGCGGTCAGACTACTGGGTATGAAATCCGACGGTCGGAATAATGGCATTAAAATGGTCGGATTAAAGGGCAGTCGACATTATGGGACTAAAACAATAAAACTCGCCATAGACCTGCATGGATGGATGGTCGGATTAGCGGGTAGTCGGACTTATGGGTAGTCAGACCTATGGGAGGTCGCACTAACGCCTGGTCCCCACTGGCGAGTGGGGTGGCCAGTGGGGTGGCCAGCAAATTTATAGGGGGAGCCATGGCCACCCCTGGCCACCCCCTGGTGGCGCCATTGGCTGTGGTGAAACTACAATGTTCTGAAGATGGACTACAAAAAGCGCATCTTAGATAATGCGCCCTGTATGTCCTCATTGTGTTGATTCATGCAGGATATATAAATGTGGACAACACGAAAGATATTGTTTAATTATTAAGGTCGGAATTGAATTAAAAAAAGTAATATAGGCTACCAGCCAAAAACTGCTCACACTCACCCATCTGAATCCCAAGTAGTAAAATGAATTAATGATATTACTAAAGGCTGGCAATACAACAACGCTCAAATGAATAAATGACTGATGCAAAGTGAACATATGTTATGGGTGCGTGTCCCCTCCATCCACAGCTGTGTTCAACTTGTTTGTTTTGTAACAGGATAAACAAATATTAAATGCATTATTTTGTTTTTGCATGTGAATAAAAAAATAATGGAAAACTACGTGCTTTTTCCATTTTCTTCTTCAAATGGGAATTGGAATAGAAATTAGACCACAACCAGTAACCAACTTGTGTTTGGCCTATATGCGCATTTACGCACGAGACACAGCAACGTTACTTCATTGATTATCTATCTATTTTTTTTTTTTTTTTCAGTTCAATTCATTTTTATTTATATAGCACCAAATCACAAAGAAAGTCATCTCGGGGCACTTTACACATAGAGCAGGTCTAGATAATACTCTTGAATTTACAGAGACCCAACAGTTCCCCCATGAGCAGTACTTGGAGACAGCGGTAAGGAAGAATTCCCCTTTTTTTAGCCATTTGAAGATGAAAACGGCAAAAGCAGGTGGATTTCCGTTTTTCTTATTCACATGAAAATCGGAACATGAAAATAATGCATTGTGTATTTGTTTAACCTGTTATAAAACAAGTTAAACAAAGCTGTTGACGGAGGGTGCACCAATAGTAGCATAATGTTGAAAGTTGAAAACATACAGCATATGAACATGTTATGGCATGAGATGTATAATGCTTCATAAACAACGGTAATGTACATAGTGATCTCCTTCCTTTCTCAGTCATGTTGATCTTTTTCTTTCCTAATCATTTGAGTTTGTGAATGGTGAGTCGCTTGGTCACTTTTAATATTGGTGCCGCAAGGACTTGTAGGACGGAATTATCTCCTTTCCTTTCGTAAAGGATGGTCCAATGTACACTATGCTAAAGGAGATTAAAAAGGAAGCATTGAAGCACCTTTCCTTAAAATTTAGAGAATTCGACCAGCTCTTATCATGGCTGCCACTTAGATACTTCCGGGTCATTTCACTCAGTTAAGAACCTTCCTAAGCAAAAAAGACTATTCGACCGCAGCCAAGGTCTGAGAGTTGTCTCTATTTAATTTCTCCTTTTCGTTATTTTCTGTGGCTCCATCTGTTGGTGTCAGTGGTTGTGGTGAATGCTGAGCTTTCACTTTGAACACATCCCACTTCTCAGGAAGCAGCCCTTTGTTGAAGAGCACAGAAACCAGATAGGAGAACAACAAGATGGCAGCAGTGGCAGACAGCATGGAGATGGTCTTGACTGGAGAGTACTGGACATAAACACCGTCCTCAAGAGTGCATCCTGGGAAGTGTATGACTGGTGGTAATCCTAGTGAGGGCTCTCCACTGAGCAGTCTCAACACACATCCCACCAGCAAACCCATCGTAGCCCCATAACCATTTGAGATGTTGAAGAAGAGGATGCAGACAAGTTGAGGGAAGATTACGATGTAGGCCAATTCAGTGCCAGTGAACAAGAACACCAACATGCTGTTTTTCAGGTTGGACAGTAACGTACCAACCAAGCCCACTACCAACACAGACGCACGGATCACCCACTGACTCTCTCTGTCTGATGCCTGAAGAAGAAAGTAGAGATGAAGACAAACAGATTAACAGCAAATAATGGAGACTGTCCTGTTTTAATGTATCTCGCTGCTTCTTTATCTTATAAACTTTTCTTTCCAGTTTGCTTCTGTCTCATGCCACTTTATTCCATTTATACTCCCTTGCACTCCATTCCCTTTCTTTCAAAATAAACATAAAACGTGAACAATATATCAAAAAATTATTTGATGTGATGTACCAAACTGAAAGAACATATGTATTTTTATTTACCTGAGGCCTGAAAATGTTCTTGTATATGTTGGAGGTGAAGATAGAAACAGCAGAAAGCAGCGCAGAGTCAACCGATGACATCGCAGCAGCAGCCACACATCCAGTACCAATAATGGAGACGAACCATGGGGTGAGGTGCTGCAGGGTGATGGGAAGAACTAGAACTGATTCCCCACGTTCATATGGAGATGGAGAACCATAGGAGGTCAGGTTCCAGTCTGAGGCACGGACACAAAAGACGGAAACAGTGAAAAATGGTCACATTATTTGTTTGAGGGATTTTGAGAAGACCCTACTGTACATACTAAGTTATAAAGTAAGCAATCCGTGATGAGAAGTATGGAGTGTGGTGGGTCCGGCTGATCATTTAACCAAGACAGACAGTTCAGATCGCCTTCATGCAGTTGAATGGCAGAGGAACTGATATCGACCCTTGAGCATATGGCCTCCAGTCTGGTACATGTAATCTACAGTAAGAATATTCTCCTCAACAGCTTGAAATATTAATAAATGAGCTAATCAAATGTGAACATCCCATTACACAGTCCATTAAAATGTTTTGACAAAGTTGAAAAGATAATCCCATGAAAGGATGCTCATAACTTGTGTATTCTTGCTTATACCAAGGGTGTGCCACAGGGATCCACTTTGGGCCCTCTTCTGTTTACAATTGACCTACTGTTTTGTCTCTCTTGTGCTTGAAATTAATCTTCATATAGAAAATAATATTTTATATTGTGTTGCTGATTCTGTCTATTTAGACATTTAGAAGGTGTAACTCTTTTTTAAGCCTCATGCAAAAACAACAAATTCACTGTTTTGTCATCCATAGATATATATTACATCAATTTGCATATCATTTGAGCTGTAGCTATGTTTTACTGACTATTTAGAGAAAGTGACGGTACTTGTTGTCGTTGTAATTATTGGCATTAGTAGTTCTCTTGTTGTGGATTCATTGTTTTGTTTTCTTTTGTTGTCCTTCTTTCCTAGGATTTTTAGTTTTATATTATTATGTAATGTTTAATTGTGTGGACTCCAGGAAGAGTAGTTGCTACCCTGGTTGTGGCTAATGGGGATAAATGGTTCAATATTTGGAAGATTGCGCAACAGAAATATTTTGGCATCTGTCTTAATGATGAAAGCTGCAGTGTGCTATGGTGATCCATTTGTAGAAATGTTGTTATGTCCACTCCCACTATTCTACTTTTATGTAAATTACAGGAGATGTTTACAGCACCCAGCCCTTAATTTCAAATGGTAATTGTACAACCTGGGTTTCAAAACCCAACATTTGCTGTGTCTGGTTACTAAATGCCTCAGGCTTGATGAGCAAGTTATGCAAAGTTAAGATGTGAGTGTTTCTTAGTTTCTGTGACTTAACTCTTTACAGGGATTTACAGGCATTGTTCTTTCATGAATACAGGTGCATAATGACATTCTTTTTTGTTTCCCCAGTTTACCCAAATATGTAGAAACTGTTCGTACCTGTGGATGCAGCAGCTGCCCCAAGCAGTATAGGAGGTATCCCAAATGTAGGTAAGATGACAGCAGCAATAAAGCAAGTGATCTTGGCTGTGGATGTGGAAGATGCCGACAAGGTCCTCTGGTGGAGGCACTGATATCCCGTGCTCCCCAGTGCCTTAAAAGGAGAACAGTTATTTGTTTGATTTAATCACTGATGTGTTATCCTCATGGGGTAAAAGCTGCAAAATGTCTGCCTGCTGTCAGAAGTGAAGCATCCTTTCAGATGAAACTTAAAATTAGCAGCTACAGTTAGTTAGTCTTACCTTGACATTTATAAATATATTGTTTCAGATAAAAGCCTGTGCCTACAACAGAGGCTCCATCTTATTCTTTATTTAAAATGAAAACAGTCCACTGTGAGAATATTTATGTTATTTATCATCATTCAGGTATCATATATATATCATATCAGAAGATATGTATCACGACTGGGGTCAATTGCATTTTGTACAGGTCGTATTTTTGCTTCCTTACAAAGAATAAGAAATTATCAATCATTATCCAGGTCCTTTTCAGCCCCAGTGTACCAATCCAGGGAGCATGTAAGGTGTTGTTCGTCAGTGTCTGTCCAATGTCCAAAGAGTATGGGTTCATCATAACAAAGGGAACACAGATCCACTGCAGAGACAAATACAAACGGAGACACACACAATGCTTAAAGACATACTTTGGAGTTTTTGATGCCTTGTGTGAGAGTGGTTTCTGTTTCCTTCAAACAAATAGCCTGACACTATAAAAATTTAAGGTATAGCAAACTTACCAAGCTGACGAATATGAGCACAAGCTGTATAATATCTGTGTAGGCCACAGAGTAGAGACCTCCCAGCAGTGTGTAGGTAATGGCAACGGCAGCAGAGATCCAGATGCACACAGTGTAGGACAAATCCAGGACCACACTCATAATTCCTCCTGCCAAACAAAAAATGGATGGATGGATGGATGGATGGATGGATATTCATTTATGATGTACACTGTTACATGGACGTATGGTGCTTACAGGTCTGTATATACTGTACCTAATCCAATTAGTATTGTGGGAACCCACAGTAGATCCATAATAAGACCAGCCATAGTTAGTCCAGCTGTTACTGATTTTCCATACTTGGCATGGAAAGGGTCCAGCATCGTCACACAGTGTCTTTCTCTCAGTGGCTTTGCAAACACGAAGCCAGCTTCATGTGAAAGAGGAAAGAAGACATCACAATCAGAAAAATTCAATTAATCAAGCGAGGGGGAAAATACTTAAGAAAAAAAACAACAGCTATATGAATTTTTATATTTATTTCTTTTTGGCTTTTCAACATTTTAAAAAGCAGAAGTTGTACAACAACCTGAGGTTCAGTAAGTAATCTTTAAATTCTGTAAACAAAGACTGGTAAAACAAAGTGGTAATGCCTGCTACAAGAATATTTCTGTTCAGTTGTCAAACAAATTCATCAATGTAAGATCAATTATGAATTCTTACCAATAGATAAATTATTCTAATTTTAAAAAACTATTTCGTTAGTGTCAGTAACAACTATTAAGGGGATAAATGTGCATAATAATAATTATATTTAATTGATATTTCACAACTCAGATATTTTAGTCAACTCAAAATAATCAGAAATGACAATGCAATTGAGTGCAAGAAGCCAAATGTCTGTCCAATGCACCTGGGACTATAAGCATAGTTAGGGACCGTCCTAAAATTGCAATATAACCCATTTCAATATTTAGTACCTTATATGATTTTCAGCATAAAAATTTGCCATTATAGAGAGTGGCAGCCCATAAATATTTTATATCTGTGAGTTCAATTAATAAATCAATAGATAATTTAAAAAATGTGACAAATCACAGGGGCAGCACAGTGGTGCAGTGGTTAACATTGTCACCTCACAGCAAGAGGGGGTTCCTGATTTGAATCCAGGGTGGGAGGCTCCAACCCCTCTGTGTTAAGTTTGCATGTTCTGCTCCCATCTTTACATTTGTTTTTCTCCCACAGTCCAAATAAATCCAGGTTAGGTTAATTGGTGACTCTAAATTGTCTGTAGGTGTGAATGTGAGTGTGAATGGTTGTCTGTCTCTATGTGTCAGCCCTGTGATAGTCTGGTGACCTGCTGGGATAGGCTCCAGCTCCCCTCTGACCTCCAACAGGATAAGCAGTTACAGAAAATGAATGAATGAATAACAAATCATGGTTATAACTTTCCTTAACTGTACATATTTCAAGGTTGTGATGTCAACAGCTTGCTCAGTCATGAATATGTTGACGTGAAACCACCTCTGATGTGTCTTCAACATTCCCTCACAATTTCTACAGTTGTTGTGAGATGAAAACAGTGAGACTGCTCTTAGAAAATCCCTTAGCATCATTATTAATGACCTATTCCTGTCTTTTGAGATCAGAGATTGTTAGGCTATGTTTGTTTTGTTACACATACAAACATACAGTATCCTGTCAGATGTGATTTCAAACTCTTACCAATGATAAAAGAAGAGCTGTATGCAATCATCATCATGATCGCCCAGATTAGTCCCATAGAGGGCGTGTACACCATCTCAGCTGTTCCAACAATGAAGGCTCCCCCAATCCACGTAGCTAGAGGATGAATAAACACACAGCAAGTAATGTAGTGGACAAACAGCAGCTTTTTGGACAGAGGATAATAATGATAATAATACAGTAATAAACTGTATTATTATGGCAGTAATGGCTTCTTTGTATATATTACAGTGAACTGTGAGCTTAGTTTTCCTCAGATTCTCTTAGTCTCTTCAACACTGTTATTGTTTAACCATAAGGAAATTCTGTCTGTCATCCTTTCTTTAACCTTTAGTGGAACGACAGTATTTAAAGCAGAAGATGAAGACTCAAATGATTATTGACTCATTATGTTAAAGAACTCTGCCTCAGCCTTGTCATCTAGAAATCTCTTTTGAACCACAACTTCACCTTTAGTCTTTGCTGATTGTAGTTTGGCACCAAAAAACACACAGTGATGGTCAGAGATACTGAAACACTGTCAGTGTTTACCCCTAAGTCTAGAATGTTACCATGCTGATGATTGGCTTCATTTACATGTCGAGTAAGTTCAGATTCATAAACTCAGTCGCTGTGAAGTCTTTCTTTTTGTTGATATGAATGTTCAGGTCTCTATTCAAGATGAATCTATCATATCGAGTGATATTGAGTGAGATCAGCTCTGAGAATTCCTGGAGGAATATTGATGAATATTTTGGTGGCTGATATAATGTGTTACAATCCCCCATAGGTGAATGGGTGATCTACCTGTGCTGTGACTCTAGCTCTTCCTCCCCTCTCTTGTGCCATTGGCTGGAGACCAGTAGCCAATCAGACCATCTGGGATATGTAAAGGCTTAGAAGCTGCTCTTCTGGTCCTTTGTTTGCTGCCATGTGTTGCTTTGTTGGGGTGTTGCTGAGCCACTTAGTGCTGTAGTCCAGAATTCTGTGTAGCCCTGTTTCCACAACACTTTCGGTACGGTACCTTTGGAATCAAAAGTAACCCTTCAGACATGGTACCTAGAGTCTAGTGTTTCCACTGCAAACAGTACTCTTAAATGTGGGCGGGGTTGTTGTCACTCACTGTATTTCCTCATTACTGGTGACACATAGAAGTCTGCACCATGTTTATTGTTCACAGAATGAGGCTGCACGCCAACATTTGTAGTACAAAATGAAACAGGCTGCAATGAGATTGTAACTCAGCCCTGAGCAGAGTGACCATCCTCTATTGGCCAATCAACAGACTGCAGTGTTCACAGCTCCACCTTTTAGTACCAGATCTGTGTGCTAGGTACCCCAACAGAGGGGGGACCAAAAATGCGGACGGTGCAGAACAGTTCCATTGGTACCATCCACAACTTTTCACGATGGAAACAGACAAAAAAGCGTACTGAACTGAACTGAACCGTACTGCTCGGTGGAAACTGAGCTTTTGACTCTTAGTAAACTTGAGAAGGCAAAGACTGATGTTAGATTAAACTGTGTCAAAGTATTCAAATTCTGAATTCCCTCAAAAGCTCTAAGTCTAAAGATGTATTTGGCCTGGACTCAATTTTTCTAAAAAGCCATACCATACCATACCATACCAATTTATTTATATAGCACATTTAAAACAACAGAGCTGAGACCAAAGTGCTTTGCAAGTAAAAGAAAAAACAGGTAACAATGCACAATCACAACTCATAAATAAGAAACATACACAGCGTCACATGAAGAACACCAATCACTCAGGCTGTGCTTGAAAAAGCCAAAGAATAAAAATGTGTCTTGAGGCGTGATTTAAACACCTGCAGAGTGGGGGCTTGCCTAACATGCAAAGGCAGCTCGTTCCAAAGTTTTGGAGCTGCCACTGCGAAAGCCCAATTTCCCCTGAGCTTCAGCTTGGATTTAGGGACAGTTAGGAGAAGCTGATCGGAGGACCTGAGGGACCTTGGAAGGACATAGAGTTCCAGCAGGTCGGAGAGGTAGATGGGTGCCAGGCCGTTAAGGCACTTGAAAGCAAACAGCAGAATTTTGAAATCAATCCTGTAGCGCACAGGAAGCCAATGGAGGGAGGCAAGTACAGAACTAATGTGCTCTTGCTTACGTGTACCAATTAGCAGACGAGCAGCGGCGTTCTGGACTATCTGTAAGCGAGAGATGGAGGCCTGGCTAACACCAACATACAAGGCATTACAGTAGTCAAGGCGAGATGTCATAAAAGCATGCATTACATTTTCAAAAACAGAACATGATAGAAAGGATTTAACCTTGGACAGCCTCCTGAGCTGGAAGAAGCTCTTTCGCACTACATCATTTATCTGTTTGTCCATCTTTAGGTCGGAGTCGATTTTTACCCCAAGATTGGTAGCAGTCAGCCGTGCTTTGACATCCTCTAGGCATGTAAACAAGGGTTTTAAGGAGTCAGGATGGTTTCGCTTTAGAGGCAGGTAGATTTGACTGTCATCCGCGTAACAGTGGAAGGAGACACCATGTTTTCTAAAAATGGATCCTAGGGGGAGCAGATATAGCATAAACAAAATCGACCCAAGGATTGAGCCCTGCGGCACTCCGCAGTGGAGAGATGCTGTGGAGGATGTAGCGTCTCCTAGGCTGACACAGAAGCTTCTCCCAGACAGGTATGACCTGAAAAATTCCAAGGCTGAACCTTTAATGCCAACCCAGTGCTCCAGACGGGAAAGCAAAATAATGTGATCTACAGTGTCGAAAGCTGCAGTGAGGTCTAACAGCACAAGAATGAGAGAGTCACCAGAGTCTGTGGCCAAAAATATGTCATTGAAAATTCTTAGGAGTGCAGTCTCGGTACTGTGGAGTGCTTTGTAACCGGACTGGAACACTTCCAAAATGCCATGAGTGTTCAAAAATGACATCAGTTGGACAAGCACAATTTTTTCCTAAACTTTGGAAAGAAACGGGAGCTTGGAGATAGGCCTAAAGTTGGAAAGGACAGAGGCATCGAGGCTAGGCTTCTTAATCAGCGGTTGCACCACAGCATGTTTAAAATTTACTGGTACATCTCCTGCCAGGCTTTTATTCATGATTCTTTGGACATTTGGCCCTATAGCCCTGCTGGTCTCTTTAACAAGGCAAGGGGGAAGGACGTCTAAGGGGGAGCCAGAGGGTTTCATGTGGGAAATTATTTCCTCTAGCTGGGAAAGAGACACAGGCTCAAAATGGCTAAAAGTGGCGGGGCAGGTTGCCGTAGTAGAGGGGTCATGTTTCGGGGTAGTGATGCTAGCTCTAATTTTGGCTACTTTGTCAATAAAAAATTGTAGAAAGAGCTCACATTTCAGAGGAGGCATCCAGACAGACAGACCTGGGGGCATCAAGAATATCATTAATAGTTTTAAAAAGGACCTGAGGCTTGTGACAGTTGGTTAAAATGATATCAGAAAAGTGTTTCATCTTTTCAGCCTTGACAATTTGCTGGTAACTACGCCAGCTGTCCCTCAGAATATCAAAAGACATCTGTAGCTTGTCCTTTTTCCACTGACGCTCAGCCCTCCTGCATTCTCTTCTGGCTTCCTGTGTACTGTCATTCAACCAGGGCTCGGTTTTAGGTTTGGCGCGTCTGGTTTTTAAGGGAGCGACAGTATCAAGGACTTGTAAGCATCGACAAGCTGGTGCGATTTGTTTGTCAGTGTAACATGGGAGAGACACATCGAACAAAACAGGCATATGGTCAGAAAAGAATGCACCACAAACTTCAATGTTGGAAACTGGTAAACCATATGATAGGACGATGTCAAGTGTGTGCCCGTGCTCTTGTGTGGGACCAGTCACAGACTGCACAAGATCAAATGAACCAATGAGATTTAAGAATTCACTAGTCGGGGGCTTGGAGGGACAACACACGTGTATATTCATATCACCAAGAATTAAAGCATGGTCATATTTAGGCATTATTTCAGCCAGGAAGTCTGAGAAATCCGAGATGAAGTGCTTGTTATATTTTGGGGGTCGGTATATCACCGTGCACAGTACAGGGCGAGAGCGACCCAGTTCAAACATGATCAGTTCAAAGCTGGAGAATGAGACCGGTGACAGTTGTTTACAGTCAAAGTCTTGAAAACGGTCGCAATTCCCCCTCCCCGGCCAGACATTCACGGAGCGCTGAAATACAAACAGCCGGGCGGCAAGAGTTCAGAGAAGGAGCTTGACTCACCGGCACTCTGCCATGTCTCTCCGTAATACACAAGAAATCCAGTTCACGTGTGATGAATAAGTCGTTCAGGATGAACGTCTTGTTTGCTAGCGATCTAGTATTCACCAGGGCGACCCTGGCGGGAGGCGGAGCAGCAAGGCGATCATCCGTCCTGGGAGCTCGGGCGACAGGTTGAAGGCTACGTTGGTTCACCCCTCCTCTGCGCAGATGGGGAGAACAGAGGCGGGCATGGAACTCCGTGCCGATGACAGGCACCAGCCAGGTGCCGGTAGGCTCGAGAGAGCGACGGGAGACAGAGTAGCGATGGGTCGATCCATATCCAGCCAGAGTAGACGCTGAAAAAAACACCAGAGCGGCTTTCAGCCTCACCAGTCACCCGCTGCGTTTACCGCAGGACCGGGTTTTGTGAAGCCTCCGTCTGGGGAGAGGAGCTGCGTAGAGGTGGGCAGGCAATCCCGCAAGAAGCGGTGGAGGAAGCCTTCTTTGTCACGGATCAAACCTGATCAAATTTGCACTTGCAAGCCGAATATCCAGGAGTGCTTGGCGATCATAAGCCAGTATGTAGATGCATTCACTGAACCATTAACAAAAGTAGTGAATGCTTCTATCAAAGAAGATAAATATCCTAATGACTGGAAGTCAGCCATTGTGGTACCAGTCTTTAAATCAGGAGACTCAACTACTATAAGTAACTATAGGCCAATCAGTATTTTGCCTGTTATCTCCAAAGTTGCTGAAAAATGTGTTGTTGAACAGCTAATTTCCCATATTAACAGTAGCCCATACACTCTGCACCCAATGCAGTTTGGTTTTCGGACCAACCACTCCACTGAGACAACAAACTGCTTCTTCTTAGAAAATATTAAACAGAAAATGGATAAAAGAGGTGTTGTTGGTGCGATAGTTTTAGATTTTAAGAAGGCATTCAACACTGTCAGTCATCAGATACTCCTCTGCAAACTCTCAAACTATAATTTTTCCATTGGCGCGCTGAACTGGATGAAGTCCTGTCTTGCAGATAGAGTCCAATGTGTAAGGACTGCAGGTGAGGCATCACCCTTTCTGAGCAATGAAGTGGGTGTGCCCCAGGGATCCATCTTGGAACCTCTCCTGTTTAGTTTATTTATAAATGATCTTCCGTCTATCTGCACAGGTGCAAAGTTCAAATGTACGCAGATGATACGGTTATTTATGCTCATGCAAAAACTAAAGAACTGGCAGCTGCCAAATTGAATGCTGTAATGGTGAAGGTCAACAACTGGCTCAATGAGTCTCAACTGTTTCTTAATGTTAAGAAAACAGCTGTATGTATTTTACAAAAGCAAGTTTCCAGTGTTTGTCTCTGGAGAACCAATCAAAGTAGTCACTGAGTTTAAATATCTTGGCGTTGTCCTTGACCCTACTTTATCTTTCAAAAAACAAGTAAAAAGAGTAATGCAGACTGTCAAATATCTATCAATCAATCAATCAATCAATCAATTTTATTTATAAAGCCCAATATCACAAATCACAATTGCCTCACAGGGCTTTACAGCATACGACACCCCTCTGTCCTTAGGATCCTCGCAGCGCCCGCAAAAAAACTTTAACGGGGGGAAAAAACGTGTAAAAGATCAGCCAAAACCTAACCTATGTAAACGCTGATAGTCTGATTTTACTGTGACCACTACCCTGTGCAACCCACATTATTTTCATAATGATATATTTAGGAAAAGATGCTATCTGTTGCCTCTTTAAAACAAAGTCCACTGAGTTTAGTGATGTTTGAACAAACTCTCATTGATTTATGACCAAATTCAAAGAAAGGTGATTGCACTTGTTTGGAACAGTTAGTGCCCTCTAGATCTCTTTCAAAATGTGGTTCATAATTATTATTCTGCAAGTTGAAATCATGAGTTATCTTGGACGGGGGTTTTGTGATGTCCAAAATACTCACACTAACTTAAACACATCCGCCCACATACCAGGGTTTTCCCTGCATAGAAAATATTTTGGTGGCTGCCAAAGCTGTTTTTGCCCTCCGCCAATGGAAAATCCCCTCCGCCAAAGAGGGGTGTGGAAGCGGGGAAGGGAGGAAATATCTTGAGATTTTAATATATATCGATATATTTCTAAACGCGATATTACACGGGAAAATATCGTTTCTATCAATGTAGGCCTAGTTCATTTTGCGTTAAAATGACAATACATGGGCCACAAGTTCTCACCTATTTCTCCTCTCCCTCTCCCTCTCCCTGTGTCCCTGTCTCACAAACACAACCTCTCTGCTCCACCTCCCTCGCTCTGTCACCACAAAGGGATTTTTTTTTTAATTCAAGGAGCATTTTTTCATATATGGAGACAGTTTTTTTGTTCAGTTTGTTTTAAACATTTTGATATTGTGCAGAGTGACCTCTGTTAATAAAGGTGCCTGTGTGACATTTGGCTCGTGGCTTAAACTTATAACTGATCTTTTTTAATTAACCTTTTTTTTTACTAAATTAAACTAACAGGGACGCTATGCCATAATGCTTTGTGGGAAACCCCAATTACGTCACAGAAAAAATATTGATATATATCGTGTATCGCCATTCAGCTAAAAAATATCGAGATATGACTATTAGTCCATATCGCCCAGCCCTAGCTGACGGTAATGTGTAAATGTATACCCCCCAATTTTATGGCACATGCAGACATCACCACCAAAGCCCCTTTCTGAGCCAGGGAAAAGCCTGTATACCCCCCCCCCCCCCCCCACACACACACACACACACACACACACACTTTCCATCCTACTTTTGTCAGCTGTGCTCTCCTCACCTGTCATTGTGAAGATCCCCACCACCAGGCTAATGCTGCGGTTGCCCAGCAGTGTCATCTCCATTCCAGGGGCTCCACTTTTCCTCTTTTCCCTTTTGGATTTGAAAGAAGCCCAGATGCCAGTCCCAAGTACCAGCAGGTAGAAAAACACCATTGCTATTACTCCTGGGATGTTAACAGCCATGCTGAATGTCTGCTCTTCTAGCTGGTGTCAGACTGACTGAATGTAGTTTTATAACTAGGTTCAGGAACAAAGACCACGCCTTTAACACATCCCATTTCCGCCCAACAGTAAAAACACACCTGATGCATTCTCTTTCCCTTCGACTAGTGATGGTGAAATCGAAGCTTAATGAAGCATTGAACCACTTTGACACACCTGCTTCAAGAATGACACACTGCTTCGAAGCATTTCATACAGTCAGAAGAGTGACATCTGCTGGCTGTGTGTCAGAACTTCATCTAAGTGGAAGACCTGGAAAAGCCTCAAGACTGCCTGTAAGAGGCCTCGCTCCCGGTAGTCACGTGATTGTGGGCGTGCCGAAGCAGGGATCGAAACACTGCCTCAGAACACTTGCGCTTCAAAAGATCAACACTGTGTCGAGCAAACTGGCTCGAGCATAACATCACTACCTTCGACACATTTCTCACATCGACTGACGTGCACTTCATGTGTAACCACAGGCTTACGTCAATCTAAAAGTAAGACAAACTCTAGCTTTTATTGTATCAATTAATCAACTCACCACGGATCCAGAGCTGCAGAACAATCCTTCTGATCCAGACAAAATCCACCCAAAGGCAATTATCCTTGAGTCATATCATTCCCGCAGCAGTAGGATTACAGACAAACTTCCAGGCAGAGCCGCAAGCGTTCCTTGGCTCCCATACCTCAACCTTGCCAGCTCCTCCAGGGTTTTCCCTGGCTCAGAAAGGGGCTTTGGTGGTGATGTCTGCGCGTGCTGCAAAATTTTGGGGGTATACATTTACAGATCACCGTCAGCTAGGGCTGGGTGATATGGACTAATAGTCATATCTCGATATTTTTTAGCTGAATGGCAACACTCGATATATATCAATATTTTTTAAGATCCGTAATTAGGGTTTCCCACAAAGCATTATAGCATAGCGTCCCTGTTCAGAGGCAAACCCTTAAAAAAAAAAAAAGGTCAGTTATAAGTTTAAGCCATGTGCCAAATGTCACACAGGCACCTTTATTAACAGAGGTCACTCTGCACAATATCAAAATGTTTAAAACAAATTGAACAAAAAAGCTGTCTGCATATATGAAAAAATGCTCCTTGAATTAAAAGACAAAAAATCCATTTCCTGCATGACAAAAATACACACAGTAGCCTAATTAATTTGAATACACTGTGTAAATACGCTGTGTTACAATTTTAACAGTATCAGTAAACAGCTTTGTGGTCTGAGCAGCACGTATATGACACACTCCTCACACGTTATGGCGCTGTTGTAAGTGGTGGAAGAGATTTGTCGGGCTCAACACTTTACCCCCAATTTCCACATACTCTGTCAGCGCCGCGCACTGCACCACGTAGCAGATACGCTCCCATTCTAGTGAATAGCTGCATTTCCACAGCGTGTCTGGAGTGTCCCAGAGGCTCCACGGCGCACCGCTTCGTCAGAGATAGGCACCAGACCAGTTTTCGACATTCTTTACAGAAAACAATTTGCTACTGGTCATCTGACACTTTAAAACCAAACCATCTCCAAATTATTGAGCCATTGTTTTTTCGTTTACTGACCAACTCTCTGTCTCCATGTTGTCGCTGAGCACAGGTGAGAATGGAGGCGAGGGGAGGGGTGGTGACAGAGCGAGGGAGGTGGAGCAGAGAGGTTGTGTGTGTGAGATGGACCCAGGGAGAGGGAGAGGAGAAATAGGTGCAAACTTGCGGCCCATGTATTGTCATTTTAACGCAAAATGAACTAGGCCTACATTGATAGAAGCGATATTGTCCCGTGCAATATCGCGTTTAGAAATATATCATATATATTAAAATCTCCAGATATTTCCTCCCTTCCCCGCTCCCACACCACAGCAGCAGGGACGCCTCCAGAAATTTTTCATAGGGGTGGCCAGATGGGGCCACTTAAAATCTTGGGGTGGCACACCAAAACTAAAAGCCAGGATTTTATTATACTGTTGTAGTATATGGGCTAGTAAAAAAAAAATCACAAAGACTTAAGGAAACGCCTACTGATATACTTTGGTTTATTGTGTTACATTTTATGTTACTAATGATCTAATTTGCATAGACTAATAACAATACAGTTAACATTTTGAGTTCCACCATAATCTTGTTTCATTGTGTTATGTATGTTAGGCTATTCATTGTTTTTAAAATAGGCTAGTTATCCTTTTCCTTAAAAAGACACATATACAGCTTAATTTAAAGGTGTACATTTATTGTAATCAAAACCATTACTGGGAAAAAGCAGGTACTGGCAGATACAAACAGAAGCAAGTACAGAAATACTCATATCTTTGCTTTATGTAACAAGAATTTCCCACCAGGGATCAATAGTCTTTCTTATTCTGATTACCAGGCTATACAGTATGTTTAACAAACACTCATATCTTTGCTTAATGTAATAGAAAAAGAATTAGATTTACAAGAAAAAATTCCCAAAGGTCCGACCTAGTATTTGAATTCCATTAGTCCGACCTCCCAAAAATCCGACCGCAGTAAAGTTACATTTCAGGGGGGACCAGGCAACTTCCCCCTTTCAGTAAACACAGAGCAGTGGTAGCACTAAACAGCTGCAATGTCTCTATGTGCGGACTGTGAGGACAGTTGCGTTTATCTCATTGACGGGAAATC